GTTTATTGTTCACTTCATATTGTTTTAGTGGAGCGGCAGTATTGGAGCCTTCTTCTTCTTCTTCTGCCACTGGTCTTTGTTTCTCTGACTGCTTTTGGAGTACTTCTCCTGGTGAACAAACTCAAATGTAAGTCTTTGCTATCTACAGCATCTCTTTATTTATATAGAAAGATGTTTTTCCTCTCGGCAACAAAGAAACTACAAAAGAATGTAGGGGATGACTTACATTCCCAACTAAAATCACTATTATTATTATACTGCATATATTTCATTTAATTATATAAAATAATACCAATTATATTAAATATATACATAAATTCTATATTTCATTTAGCAAAGACACATTAAACTGATTAGATTTAATATTATATATACATAATAATTAATCTTTTAATATAAATAGATTGAAAGATTAAGATCAATATTTATTTAATTGCCATTATTTGACCACTTGCTACACTGCTCTAGATATTGCAAGTGGCCATTGAAAAATCCATCAAAAATCTCAAAGTAAATTCAAAATATTTTATGCTAGAGACTGATAACTGCTGTGCTGTCAAAGTAAGACTGATCAGTCACTTCTTATTATTTGATTGGATTTAAGATGGTGAAAGAGAGATACAGTTGAGGTTTTTGTTGAGATGTTGACCAGACACTCTTTTTGCTCTCAATAGCTCTATTCACGCGTGTCTGTGAATGGGCCATATTTTTGTGGTGATCTGTGTAGAAATCATTTATTCCATCGCAGCATGCTCTTTGTCTTTTTCAACTCCTTCTTCATTTTGTGTTCTTTCACCCATCTGACCACTTTTTGTGTCTTATACTCTTTTTAGTGAAATTTCTAAGGAATACAAATTTAGTCACTCTCAGGCCAACCAAGATATAGATGAGTTTGTTTCTTCATTGGAACAGATTTGAAGAAATTTACATCACTTGCTCACCAATGGACCCTCTGCAGTGAATGGGTGCCATCAGAATGAGAAACCAAACTGCTGAAAAAACATCAAAATAAACCACAAGTAACCCACACATATACAGTCCATCAATTAAAGTCTTGTGAAGTGAAAAGCTGCATGTTTGTAAGAAACAAATCCATCAATAAGGCAAGGCAAGGCAAGGCAAGTTTATTTATATAGCACATTTCATACACAATGGTAATTCAAAGTGCTTTACGTGAAAGAAAAGAAAATAATAATAACAATAAAACAAGGAATTTAAAAACTTTGAAAATGATTTAAAAATTGATTTAAGAGGTTTATAATGAATTTAAAACAGTTAAGAATAGAAAATGATTATACATAAAATATAGTGCAATAGGATAGTACAATAAGATGTTACTGTTGCTTCTGGCCAAAATATGAGTCCATAATCCATAATAACACTTCCTCCAGTGAAAAATCCCCTGTTGGCATCTCACATTAAAATCCACTTACATATTTGTTTAGAACTGTTTTCAACTTGTAAACAGTACTGTGCATATTTCTCTCCTGATTCAGATTAGCAACATGAAATAAAGCAACATTATGGATAGAGGACTTGTATTTTAGCTGGAACCACTGGTTTGAAGTAAAAAAAAAAAAACATCTTAATGAAAAAAAAAATGAATTAACTTAAATGATGGATTAGTTTCTAACAAGCATACAGCTTTTCGCTTCACAAGACGTTATTTTATGGACTGGAGTCATGTGGGTCACTTGTGGATTATTGTGATGTTTTTATCAGCTGTTTGAACTCTCATTCTGACGGCACCCATTCACTGCAGAGGATACATTGGTGAGCAAGTGATGTAATGCACATTTCTCCAAATCTGTTCTGATAAAGAAACAAACTCATCTACATCTCTGATTGCTTGAGTGTGAATACATTTTCAGCATTTTTTTTTGTTTAATTTCGGGGTGAACTATTCCTTGAAGTATTAAAGAAAGTCTTCTCCGTTGATGAGATTTTACATTCTTGTATGTGCCTCTCTCAGGGTCGCTTAACGAATGGGACAGAAGATGTCATTCTCAAGGTACACAAGGTGTTTGTTTACAGTCATTTGTGTGTCTTATTATCAAGAAGCCTTTTAGCATAGGAAAAATGACCTTATGATAATCTCATGCGCTCCTTATTTCTCTCTCTAGATATGAGGGGACAGGTGTTGTTGCTCCATTCCTCAGCCACGGACCCACAGCTGGTGTGTGAGTTGGGCCAGTTGTTTTCTGAGCTGGGTTTCAGAGTATTTCTCGATCTGTGGAACCAAACAGAGCTCGGTTCTTGCGGCCCGGCCGCGTGGCTCCACTCTAAGCTCGATCACATCCAAAATCATGGAGGGAAGGCCCTTCTGGTGCTTTCTCCGACAACACTGCAGAGAGCCGAGTTGTATTGGAAAATTGCAGTGGAAAGACGAAGCAATCCTGCCACATACTCCTCAGATATGCTGGCTTCGGCATTGGGCTGCATTTTTGCTGACCGTCAGAAGGGCTGCGCTGCTCAGCGGTTCGTCCTTGTGCAGTTAGACGTACATGAACTTCCCATCAATGAGGAGCATGACATGCCAAAGCTGTTGAGGGGTCTGCCGCTTTATAAACTGCCTTCACAGTCTCAGGGATTACTTATGGAACTGTGTTTGGAGAGCCCAAATATCATGAGCGGGAAGTTGAAGAAGATGTGGTGGATGAAAAAGGCACAGAGAAAGCTGGCCCAAGGAGTGCAGAACATTTTTAAGTCGAGGGTGAGGACTGAATCCATGCTCACTCAGTTTGATTCACTCAGCCTAGACACGGAAGACACAGAGGAAATAATGTTTCTCAAAAATGAACAGCTCTGATGTATTATTTACTCCCTTGTCACACCAGAACATTGTTTGGATTGTCAGTCACAATCTGTCAGTATGGACTATGGACAGATAACATGAACAATAAAAGTACCAGAAGGTCCAAAAAACATGGTGATGCCATGTTTTTATGCGCATGCTTGGAAATACCAAATGCCATCATGAAGTACCTTTGAATCCTACGTGAATATGGCATAATACAGACATATTTACAGTAACTGGCTATTATTGCTGGGAATAGCTTAAGAAGGAAGTCTGCATGTAGGACTTAAAAGTCCAAATGAGGAAATTCCACAGTACAGACGCTATAGGAAGTAAAGAAGTGTATAAATACACTAAAAAATACTTCACATTCATACTGTACATATATACCCCTATGTTTTCATAGGTATTTGGAAGGAAATTTCCTCTAACTTACTGTTTTCATCTTTGCTTTTATTTAATGGTTGTAAATAATGGCTTTTGGCTAATATCTATGCACAAATTTCATATGTAAATATTGCTATTCACATATTTTATATATGGCTGTAATATATATTTTAATTGAACTTTTGTAATATACAGTACATTTGAAATGCTCTGGTTGTACTCAAATATACAGTTTTGACATTAGTATTTTGTCATGGTCTGATGAGTGGTAGGCCTATAGAATAGAGGGAATATAGCCAACAGATAGCACATCTGCAAGAAGTCTGTTAAAGATCGCTTGATCTGGAAAGCATTTGCTGTGTACAAAGATCTGACACAGGTCTTTAAGATGTCAGTTTTACATACATTCTAAATCATAACCATCTTAAAGATAGGCCTATCTACTAATAAACATCTAGTTGACATCTGATAACGTCCTATAGACGTATTGCAGATGAGCAAACACTCTAAAAAATACGTATTTCAGATGTAAATGCAGACATCAAATAGACGTCTTATCAGGGATACATACATAGGCTACATACATTCACAACCAGGCTTGTCTGTTTGCTGGTTTTAAAAGGGTTTGGTGCACGCTTCAGCTGGTCAGACTGGACAGCCAGTCGAAGCGGGAGACCAAGTCCAGCAAACTATCAGACTTGAAGTGGACAGACAATTAGAGTCTATAAAAAGAAGCTAGGGAGGGGGCAGCATAAAAATATCGTACACCAGACCCACTGCAGACTAAAAATATTCGCTGTTATTTGAGAACGTCCTCAAGCTGCTGCTGCACTGGTTTTGTGCGTCCATGACTGAAGAAACTAAAAACACATAATTAGCCTACTTAGTGGCCCGAAAGCTGCCTGAGAAAGCTGCCATGAATCAGGTATAATGAATCTAAATAAGAATTCTTCCGCTTTAACTCGTTGTGTATTTTAAAAAGCAAGAGGCATTCTCAGTGTCATTAGACAAGTTCCAGAATGAGTCTGAAGCTGAAGCAGGTGGCATGTGTTACATTTCTCCATGCTGGAAGCCTGGAAACGTAATTACATACATATAAAGTGGAGTTAAAACATGTAATACTTAGGGTAGCCTATAGGTCAAGTATTAGTAAATGCGGTTCAATAATAGGACATCTCCTCGCGCCCCTGGCAGAACACAACAAAGTTATCTTAGCAACTCAGCGAGACAACTAGTACTATATGGCAAAGATTTTCTCTTAATATTCACAGACCAGCCCAGGGCTGCCCAAACTCGGTCCTGGAGGGCCGGTGTCCTGCAGAGTTTAGCTCCAACCCTAATCAAACACACCTGAAGCAGCTAATCAAGCTCTTATAAGTACACTAGAAACTTCCAGGCAGGTGTGTTGAGGCAAGCTGGAGCTAAACTCTGCAGGACACCGGCCCTCCAGGACCGAGTTTGGGCACCCCTGGACCAGCCCATCATCACCAATGAAATATTTCCATACTACATCACCAGGACCTTATTAATGTTCATGAGTCAAATTGTACATCCACCAGTCCATGCTGGAATATCATATGCAATATTCATGAAGCAACCCTTCGCCATAGTAGCATCTGTCATTTTTCCCTAAACTGTGCACAGGTGGGTCTGTTGGGTGTATAATTGCATCCTGAACCCTAAAAACTAGTCAATCCTGGTTTTACTGACCATCACTATCCCGTTCGTGAGTATTTAAAACATAAATTCAGTGCTGGTCTTTTCTAAACTTTTGCATTCTGCTTGTTGATTTTGTTTTAATGCATTATGGTTTAGCATGCATGGTAAAATATAATTTAGGTCGCCCTTTTCGCCCCCTAAACTAATATCGTAACTAAAATAAATACACATGCACTTAATATGATATGTGGTTTAATACAGTATAAAAGTTGTTAGTACACTTTAGTTTTATGGTGTCCTTGTTACACATGTTACATGCACTTGCTATTTTAATAACAAATTATGCATAATTACATGCAAGTAACCCAAACCCTAAACTAAACCTAAGCATATAGTAAGTACATGTAGTTAATTAATATTACTCAGTAAATATATAATTACACTGTAATAAGGACACCTTTAAATAATGTGTAACCAAGTTTTATTATTTGTCCTTTTTCAGAATGTGATAAGGCCTGTGTTGGTTGTATGGGTGGAGGACCTGCCCGCTGTAGGAAATGTGCTTCTGGTTACAGATCATCAGGCATGAGATGCATAGGTGAGTTGTAGTCTATATCAGTGTTTCCCAATCTTTCTTTAGTCGCGGCACCCTTTGGAAATTTTAACAAATTTGTGGCACCCTACAAAATGTATTTTATCACAATATTTGAATTTGTAACTTCGATATGATACTTTGAAAAGTATAGATATTCGGTACAGCAGGGAAGAACTGCAAAAGATACTGTCATACAGATATTTTTAATATTATAAAAAAAATGTGTCCATCAATGATGGCAATCAGTTCTAATGAAAAGACCAATTTATATGACATATTTTAATGTAGGCTTTTATTCATATGTAAACATTGTGAGATAGCTAGTCATAATGGTAATTAAACAAAGTTTTGCTCACTCAGTGTATTTTTGATTTTACAGTTGGGTAATTTTGTTGCAGTAGCACGAGATAGCTTGATTTAAAACTTTGAATTGAATAAAAAATTACAAGGAGGCTAAGCAGTTAATAATAAAATAAGAACAAATAAAGAAATGACTAATGATAGCACAAATCAAAAATAGCGATAGGCCTACAAATGAAATAAATTGCTTTTTAGTTTTTCCGGTAGGTATAACTAGTTTTGTATTGTCTAGTTTTTCAACCCCTGTTGTATAAAATATGTGTAGTAGTATTAAAAATGAAAAGATGTGTTCTAAAAATGTTTGCCAATGTTCTCACTAAGTTACGAACATAAAGTTCTGAGAATGTTCCTTGTTAGCTGGGTAAAAACACTAGTGTTAGGTAATTTGATAACAAACATCTTAATTGTTTTTGTCAGCTGAAAGTGTCACATCTGGGATTATGCAAACATCGGCCTGAAGACATCACCATTCTAAATGTATAAAAGGACATAATTTGAAATAAATTAGAACTTCTAAGTACATGTTTTTATATTTTCCCATTCAAATCCCATTTTAGACTTGCTTTGTTTTGCTGAACAATGTAAAAAAAGTTCCTTAATCTTGATTGCCATACTACTAATGGCTGGACTAATTCATTTAAAATATATTATAGTTTCATTTGGGAATTTGCTGCTGCTGTATCAAGCTTGAAAACATACAAGAACAGAAAATGAATCTTGTCTGTAATGATGACACATATTAGTTCTTCTGCAATGATACCATCTTGTGGCTACAAGAAGCATTTCCACCAAGAATGTTAAGAACAACAACACTAATTATACTTTTTCAATACATACATTGTTATTTTAATTATTTAGTATTTTGCTACAAAACTGTCTATTTGTTCTATAATTGTAACTATAAAGTTGATATATATGTATATATAACTATAAAGCTGTCTGTCTATCTCATTTTTTAATTTGCATTACGTGTATATTTGTCTCTGGGCCAGGAATCGCAGCTGTATTTTGTTTCTGTATTCTGTATTTTGTTTCTCCTGCAGATATAGACGAGTGCGCTGAGGAGGTGTTGGCCTGTCCTAGGGTCAGTATGTTCTGTGTAGATCCAGAGGGCTCTTTTCACTGTCACTGTGCAGTGGGTTACACATGCAGAGGCGACACCTGTGAGAGGAGCCAGACAACAGGTGAGTTTTATTTTCACCGATATGAAATAACACAGGTATAATCTGTGTATCAAAGAGTCTGTGTTCATGTTATTTTAGTATTATTGAGTATTGATATATTAGCATTCATTTTCATTTATTTGTTTGTTTTAAAGTTTTTTTTTTCAGTGTTCAGTGGTTTTCTCATTTTATTAGTTAAAAAATATTATTGTAGTTATTTTAGTTCAAGAAGTTAGGGATCAAGGCATAGCTCTCCTAAAAATGACTATTCTGTCATTAATTACTCACCCTCATGTTGTTCCAAACTCGTAAGACATTCGTCATCTTCAGAACACAAATGAAGATATTTTTGATGAAGTCTGAGAGCTTTCTGACCCTGCATAGACAGCAATGCAACTGACACATTCAAAGACCAGAAAGGTGGTAAGCACATCATTAAAATAGTCCATGTGACAGTGGTTCAACTGTAATTTTATGAAGCTACGAGAATACTTTTTGTGCGCAAAGAAAACAAAAATAATGACTTTATGCATTTAACACTGCATTTAAATCACATAGTGTAACGCAAAATGCACTTGTGGATGTTTCTGAATTCACCGACGTCTTCCTGTCTCTCTCCTCAGCGTCTGAAGAAAGGGTATTTTTGATGACATTCAGGAGGATGAAATTGAGGTTCTGCAACAGATGTTCTTCGGTGTTGTGCTGTGTGCATTGGCCACATTGGCGGCTAAAGGGGACTTGGTGTTCACCTCCATCTTTATGGGGGCAGTGGCAGCTATGGCTGGATACTGGCTATCTGATAAAAGCGATCGAGTGATAGATTCCATCTTGAAGGGGAGATAAATGCAAAGCTATCCGCAGTGCTGCTTTCTACAAAGTCTACTACTTTTGAGCTGGGCCATTTCTTACACCATATGATGGTATGTTCACACACACACACACACACACACACACACACACACACACACACAGCCCAAGAAAGCCCATTTTTTGTGTGGTATTCAACAATAATGCAATGAGCCACAATAGGCCGTCCAGTTCTGTGATTTTACTAACACATGGCCTACAATTGGCTTATTGCATTTATATAATGGCAGCAACAGCAATATGTTCAAAAAGGATAATGAGCATGAACTTTTCTTACCCCAAATGGTTTTTAGTTAGCAATGTGACAACTTGGTGTATTCTTATTTCACTTACAAGTTGACTACTGTATATTGGGAATCAGTTGTTTCTGATTATTCATTTGGGCACACTGGCAACGGCCTTAAACAATATCCATCTGATGTCATTTTTTATTGTGGCCGTTGCCTTTTTAGTAGCCTTCAGGTAGTACATATGTTGTAGAAATGTATTTGTGAGTGTACATAATGTTTAAAAGTTTGGTTTTGATAAAAATTTTTAACATCTCTTCTGCTCATCAAGGCTGCATTTATTTGATTTGAAAACTGTAATAATGTGGAATATTTTTACAATTTAAAAAAACTGATGTCTATTTTAATATATTGTAAAATGTAATTTCTTTTTTTATGATGAAAGCTGAATTTTCAGCATCATTACTCCAGTCTTCAGTGTCACATGATCCTTCAGAAATCATTCTAATATGCTTATTTGCTGCTCAGGAAACATTTCTTATTAATAAAGTTAACAATTGTTAAAATGTAAATAATGATAAAAATCGAATTGATATTTTTGTGGAAAGTGTGATAGCATTTTTTCCAAGATTCTTTGAGATGGTAAAAAAAATGAAAACATAAATAAAATTTAATAAAAAAAAAAAATATCAGCATTTATTTGTAATTTACTTTTTTAGTAAGTCCTCTTTAATGTCCTTTTTGAACAATTTAAGGTGACCTGGCTAAATATATATAGGCCTATATATTTTAAATCTTAAAGAACCAAACTTTTGAACAGTTGTGTATGTACCAGCAATATACAGTGTATTTTTATGAGGACAAACACTCTTTGGACTTCGACTAATAAACTTTTATTTGTTTTTAAATTAAACAGAGCATAGGCTATCTCAGAAAGAAAGTCACTTTTATTTAATGGATATAAACAAGCCGACTGACACTCAAGAATAGTTGGGGGGGGGGGGGGGGGGTGT